GATATAGAGCGTGGGTCGCCCTCCCAATTTCTGAACGGGGCCCACGCGTTGTTGGCGGACGAGGGTGTGGGCGCGGCTGCCGTTGCCTCTGCCGCTGGCGGCGGGCATTACGGACATAGCACCGTCATGCGCCAGCGTATGTTACGCGTGCCGGCGAGCTGACCACCTGACCAGGGACTGCATGTCGGAGCGCGGCGATCGGGGTCGGGGTTTCCGTGGAGCGCGGAACCTGCGATGCTTCCGACGCATTTACGAGCATGTGGCACCGCCATGTCCGGAAAACGGACACGGGGAGGTGAATTTAGCATCATTCTCCTCTCCAGGTCCTCAGTGAATGGGGGGGGGGGGGGGGGGGCGCCCCCAGCCGTCCATTGGAAGGCAAGCGGCGTGCCCTGCAAGGCATGGGTGGACTCAGGGTGCACGCAAAGTATTGCTTAAGCGTCTGCCGGCGATAGAATAAGCGCAGGGTTATGGTGACGCCCGTCAGTGGGGAACGACGGTCGCGCGAGGGCACGGGGGGGGGGAGGTAGACGTGACGCTGCAATCAGGTCATGGCTCAAATCAGTGGCCCACAAGCCACTCGGTTTTTTATTCAGTCTAGGGATGAACGGAGTCTTTGTCATGCGGGTTGTGACCATCTATGGATACGATTATGGTGCCATCCGTCGGTGCTAAGTCGACCGGTCCGGCCGAGAGGGTCGCCGCCTGCAGCGTCAGCGCCACGTGTACCGCCATGCTGACGCACACCCTTAAATAAAATTTAATGCCATGCGACCGGACAGCAACAAAGCTCCGCCGCCGACCACGACCGGCTCTCTGCGCCGGGCCAGTCTTCTACCAAAAGCCGCCGTGGTGACACCAGTGAACTGAAGCTCTGCCCGTCTGTCTCAAAATATACAGCAAGACAAACTGTCTTTGGGACAGGGGCAGGCCCAGAGGGGGGCCACGGGGACATGCCCCCCTTGGGCCCGAAGTGCCCATTGGCTCCGAGGGGGCCCATAACGAACCGAACAGGTACAGTTTTTTTAACACAAAACGCATTAAAACTGGGTATCTCTGGGCTGCCAGGCCACCAAGAACAGTTGTAAGCGCGAGTGAATGGCCTATGAGAAGTTCGGAAAGTTATTCAGTGATAAGAAAGGCTGTTAACTGGAAATTTTAATCCCCATTACACTGTCCAATGGCCCCATGTTGTTGCCGGGGGGGGGGGGGGGCCTATATGCCTACTTGCAGGAGCATTTCGACCGTTAAGGAGCATACCACGCTGCCTTTAATTTATTTGCACTTGTTCGGAGGGCCCTGCGTTTTTGGGGCCCTTCCTGTTGGCGCGCCAGGGCACTCTTGTCAATCATGGGCCCTTCCGCGGATTCTTTCCTTTCGCCAGAAAGGCTTTTGAGCTATAGCCGAGGTCCCATATCTTAGCCTGCTGGGGCATTCGCGGTTGCTCAGGGGCCCTTTACGTAGGTCTCTGTTAACCTACCGACACACTTGTGATATGCTCGTGGGTCCTCTACATTGGTCTGGGGCGTTTCCAATTCCCTGTCACTTGCTTAGGGCCCTGCACTCTCGTTGAGGACCCATCTGATGGCCTGTTTGGGCACACTCCGTCGTTCGGGGCCCTCCACACTGGGCCTCGGGTACTTCTTTTCTGAAGGGGGGGGGGGCACTACGCTCTTGTGGGGGGGCCTATCTGATAAATTGCTTGGGCACATTCGGTGGTTCGGGGCCCCCTACTTTGGGCCTCGGGCGCGTGTTTTTAGTGGGGCCCTACGGACTTGGGGACGCTCATTGTTCACCTCCTCGGCCACACTTGATTGCTCGGGGCCCTGCACATCGGCTCTTGGTGTTTGAATTTAGGGCCCTCTACTCCTATCGGGGCCATCCGATAACCTGTTCTGGTACACTCCATCTTTCGGGGCCCTCCGCGCCGGGTTTTGGGTACTTCTTATTTGAGTGGAGGGCCTTACGCCCCTGTCGAGACCCCTTCTGATAGGATGTCCGGGCCCATTTGGTGGCGGGGGACCTCTACATCTGGTTTTGGGTACTTCCTTTTTGAACAGGGGGTCCTCCGCTCTTTCAGGGGCCCTATCTGTTAACCTGCTCTGGCGCACTCGATTATTCGGGGTCCTCTACATCTTGTCGTGGGTATTTCATAGTTAAACGGAAGGCCCTACGCCCTTGCCGGGACCCCATCTGTTAGCCTGCTCGGGCACACTCGAATATCCGGGCCCTCCACATTGTGTCCTGGATACCTCCGACCTGAATGGGGGGCCTCACGCACTTGTCGGGAACCCATCTGTTTGCAGTTATGGCCACACTGGATTGTTCGGGGGCCCTATATATTGGTTCTTGGTGCTTGAATTTAGGGTCCCACACTTCTGTCCGGGCCACTTGATAATCTGCTTGGGAATACTCCATCTTTCGGGGGCCCTCCGCACTTGGTTTTGTGCACTTCTTATTTGAATAGATGGCCCTACGCTCTTGTTAGGCTTCTGATAAGCTGCTCAGGCACATTCCATCATTCTGAGGCCATTTCCATAGGGTCTTCGGTGCTTCCCATTCGAATGGAGTGCCCTACGCTCTTGGGAGCCCTATTTGTTGACCTGCTTGGGCGCATTCGATTATTCGGGGGCCCTCTACGGTGGGTCTTAGGTGCTTCTTATTTGTATGGAGGGCCTACGCCCTGACGGGGGCCCTATATGCCAACCTGCTCTGACACACTGGATCATTCGGGGGTACTCTGCATTAGGTCTTGAGTACTTCCTATCTGGATGAAGGTCCTTACGCTCTTTTTGGGGGCCTTATCCGTTAACCTGTCCGGACACACTCGATCATTTTGGGCCCTCCATACGGGGTATCGGGTACTTCCTATTTGAATGGAGAGCCGTACGCTCTTGACGGGGGCCCTATATGCCAACCTGCTCTGACACACTGGACCATTCGGGGGTACTCTGCATTAGGTCTCGGGTACTTCCTATTTGGATGAAGGTCCTTATGCCCGTTTTGGGGGCCTTATCCGTTAACCTGTCCGGACACACCCGATCATTTGGGGGCCGTCCATACGGGGTCTCGGGTACTTCCTATTTGAATGGAGAGCCGTACGCTCTTGACGGGGGCCCTATATGCCAACCTGCTCTGACACACTGGATCATTCGGGGGTCCTCTGCATTAGGTCTCGAGTACTTCCTATTTGGATGAAGGTCCTTATGCCCGTTTTGGGGGCCTTATCCGTTAACCTGTCCGGACACACCCGATCATTTGGGGGCCGTCCATACGGGGTCTCGGGTACTTCCTATTTGAATGGAGAGCCGCACGCTCTTGACGGGGGCCCTATATGTTAACCTGCTCGGGCGCACTCGGTCGTTCAGGGCCAGAGCCGGTCGTTCAGGTCGTCACATTGCGCTGTGAGTGTTTCTTATTTGAATGGATGACCCTATTTTCTTAGCGGGCCCCATTTATTGTGCTGCTCGAGCCGGTGGCGGATGCAGAGGGTGATGGGGGGGGGGGGGGGGAAGCACGGGACCATGACCTATGGACGATGCCGAGGGGGCCTAAAGGCTCCGAACGGGCCCTTACCGGCCGGACGGACGCAGTTTTCTTAGACCAAAAAACAAAATTCGATACCTTTGGGTCTGCAGATGATCAAGAACAATTCTTGGCAAAAGTAAAGGCTTCTTAAGCAAACGAAATTTATTCTCCGCTGATTGAGAAAGTGTTGCTTGCGAGAAATTTTGGGGCTCGTTACGCTGTCTAAAATCATTATGCTGTTGGTTGCCTGGCCCTTTAGGTCCACTTGCCGGGTCAATCCGGTTGCTAAGGACCTTTCCACGTTGCCCTTGATCTCTTTGCATTTTCTGGTAGGGCCCAATGTGTCGTTGGGACGCTATCTGCCTCCATGCCTGAACACTGTTGATCGATCAGGTTTTCCTTCACGGATTCTTCCCGTTCGCCCGAAAGGCTCTGTACACTTTTCCGGGGCCCCATACGCAGTGGTATACTCAGTTGCTCAGGGGTCGTCCATAGAAATCTCGGACACTTTCCACTTACTTGGAGGGCCCTGTGATGTTGCTAGGGCTCTTATAATGAGACACTCACGGAGACACTCGGTGCTCAGAGGCCCTCTACTTTGTCGAGGGGCCTCTCCCTTTGGTCCCATTTGCGGAGCACTTTTACTCCTATCGCGGCTCGTGTTGTTAACCTGCCCATGCACTCTTGGTCGCATAGTGGTATTAATTTATGGTCTTTGATAACTCCCTTTGCTCGGAGGGTCCCGTGCTATGGCCGGGGCCCTATAAGCCAGCCTGCCGAGGCATTACCGATCGCTTAGAGGCCCACCACGTTGGTCTTGGGCTCTTTTTGCTTGCTCTGAGAACCCTATACTTGCTGACGGGAGCCACTTTGTTGGCTACCTGCGGCACCCATGATCGCCCTAGTTCCGTCCCTATTGGCTTTGATGCCCTCGCCTTAGAGCAGCAGTCGAATACGCGCCGATGAATTTTTGCGCGCAATTGCCGAACGTAATTGTATGCGCCGCCGACGTCGTGTGTGTCATTTCCATCGGCTATTGAGTACGCCACACTTGTTCTACTGGTGCATCACGTTCTTAACATACTTTGAATGATAGGATACCCAAGTTACAAGAGGGATCAATGTGCTTGAAATCGCATTACCGTTTAAAGTTATTTTCTAGCGAGGAAAATAAGTCTTGCGGGTTTAATTGTATTAGTGCACGGCTATCAAATGGCACCAAAGATCTGGCTGTCAGACTAATGCCCTCCTCTTTCCACCATATAAGCAAAAACACCGCATCTTTTTAAAATATTTATACTGGAGTGAAGCCATGTGTGTCTGGCCGAACTAGGGACAACCTACCAAACGGCATCCAAACGTTATGCCCTCCCAAACAGCCTTTTCTGCCTCTCATTTGATATGACCTCACCAGTATTCCGTCTTGGTCACTATTCATGCGCTTGTGTGGTGTAAATGGCTCATCAACCATGTGATATACCAAACTATATTTCTAAAGAGCAATACAAAAGACGCAGTCCAAGCAGTGGCAGTGCAGAGAAAGGTGCACTGGGCACCGAACATGGCAGTAATTGTTTAGTGAGCACTGTCGCAGTCCGCGAGCGTGACTACAGATCCCAGCAAAGACGAGCGCAAGCCCACGCTACCGAGCGCTATACGCACACACCCGGCTCTACAGCTCAGCACATCAACACACCCTACTCCTGTCAATACCCCTCACTGCTGCTGACCTCCTGCTTCTTTTCGTCGGCGTCGGCCGCAGTGTCGTAGGCCGGCTCGGCGTCGGCCGCAGTGTCGTAGGTCGCATCGTAGAAGGCCGCGAGGTCATAGGCGGCAGCGTCGTAGGCCGCGTCGTCGTAGGCTGCGACACCGGCGGCAGAATCATCGTCGCTCGCGGCGTCGTCAACCGCAGCATCGTCGGCCGCGGCGTCGTCAACCGCGGTGTCGTCGGCCGCGTCGTCGTCGACCGCGGTGTCGTAGGCCGCGTCGTCGTCGGCCGCGGTGTCGTAGGCCGCGTCGTCGTCGGCCACGGTGTCTTCGGCCGCAGTATCGTCGGCCGCGTCGCCGTCGGCCGCGGTGTCGTAGGCCGCGTCGTCGTCGGCCGCGGTGTCGTCAGCCGCAGTGTCGTCGGCCACGGCGCCGTCGGTCGCAGTGTCGTCGGCCACGGCGTCATTGGCCGCGGACTCGAGTGGCGTCTCCTCCGGTGGCAGAGACAAAGCTGCATTTCGTCCTTGGCCGTACTGGGGCGAGCAGCCCGACTCGTCCGAGCCGTCGGCACAGTCGGGCTGGCCGTCACAGAAGTCGCCGATCGCCAGGCACTCGCCGGACATGCACGGGAACATACCCGGGGCGCACGCAACGGCCAGAGGCTCCGGACCCGGGGCTGAAGGAAGAGCATGCCAACACTCAACGCGATGCTGGACACCTCGGCTAGGCAGCAGGCGGCCAGCTGGGTTGACATCACGCCTCGGATAGCCTGTACCTTAATCGTCAATACATTTCGGGGAGTCAAGTACCTGCCTGAGATGTCCAACGCACCCAGCAAGGTAAAGTGACGTGATTTGTAAAATACAATTATAAATACAAGTTGTCTGCGACCACCATGCCCTAGACAACACGGAACCGCCGGCCACCCTCAGGGCGGCCAGCCGTGCCTGCCGTGTCGTGGCGCGGGCGTGACGACTCACGCTCGATCTGGAGTGTGATGACGTCCTCCTGGCGCCGGCCGTACTGGTCCAGCACCCAGCACACGTAGCGGCCCGCCGCCGACTCGTCCACGTCGCTCAGGCTGGCAACAGAGGCTCCGCGTCACGGCGTACTCTGGCGCTCAGCGTCGTGACGTCATCGTGGAGGGCACGTCGACACGTGCTCGTCCACATGTAAGCAGTCGAGTAAATGCTGATGCGAACGCTTACTTATTCGGATGCGTCCACGCCGTGGATGTTGATACCTAGTTACGGCATACAAAACAGACATGTTCAGTAATACAACGGCACACGGTCTGTGGCGCTGCCGAACTCCATAACTTCGAATTGTGACAGAAGTGACGGCAAGAGGGGGGTGCCGACGGCGGACCGTTCCAATCGGCTGCAGCTCATTACTGCCGCTGGGGGTGTCGGTAGTGCAGTGGTTAGCGCGTCTGCGTTAACGTGGTGCTGGGGTGTCTCAGTACGCGTTCAGCCAGGCGAGCACGAGGCACGGCGCGACGGGTCGATGCTGCGCCGCACTACACACGTACAAACGGCGTCTGTTGTTTCTCATGTTCAATGCGTTTCTCAGAAACGTTTCGGAAAAGGCCTTTTAAATTGTTCGATCCTTCCTAAGCAGGTTGCTCTTCTCATTGTGTCGATATTTCGGGTACGTAGCACGTGCGGGGACGGTCCCAGAGGCGGTTGCAGTGCCGGTTCCCCTCGGCTGCACGTCGCACATTGGGAGACACCTTCAGCGAATTTGGCGGTCCCACGCCCAGATGGCGTCTCCCCGGGACTGCACGCACGGCCTGGAGTTCACAGCAGTAGGCGGTACTTCTAGAAAATCAGAGAGTTCCAGCATGTGGACGTAATCATTGCAATAAAGCAAAAGCAGCATAGCAGGGAAGGTTACAGATGTAAAAAGGAGGAGTTTCCAAACACTGTGAAGCGCATTACCGGTAGTTAATACTGGCATAAAAGGGACATTTCTTCGCGTCTACACGAAAAGCTTTGTGTTGCAGATGACCCTTACATGCGACACCTTAAATGGCGGTGAAATAGCTAGGCCATGTTAGGTATAGCAGTATGATGGCATGCTGAGGCTGTTGGGCCAATGCAACATGCGGACATTGGATGACCTCATGCTCTACCCTCAGACGTTCCCTTACGCACCATTGGATAACCTCATGCTCTGCCCTCAGACGTTCCCTTACGCACCATTGGATAACCTCATGCTCTACCCTCAGACGTTCCCTTACGCACCATTGGATAACCTCATGCTCTGCCCTCAGACGTTCCCTTACGCACCATTGGATAACCTCATGCTCTACCCTCAGACGTTCCCTTACGCAACATTGGATAACCTCATGCTCTGCCCTCAGACGTTCCCTTACGCACCATTGGATAACCTCATGCTCTACCCTCAGACGTTCCCTTACGCACCATTGGATAACCTCATGCTCTGCCCTCAGACGTTCCCTTACGCACCATTGGATAACCTCATGCTCTGCCCTCAGACGTTCCCTTACGCACCATTGGATAACCTCATGCTCTGCCCTCAGACGTTCCCTTACGCACCATTGGATAACCTCATGCTCTGCCCTCAGACGTTCCCTTACGCACCATTGGATAACCTCATGCTTCTGCCCTCAGACGTTCCCTTACGCATCATTGGATAACCTCATGCTCTGCCCTCAGACGTTCCCTTACGCACCATTGGATAACCTCATGCTCTACCCTCAGACGTTCCCTACGCACCATTGGATAACCTCATGCTCTGCCCTCAGACGTTCCCTTACGCACCAAACTGACGTAATACCAGCTTGCATGGAGCGACCTCCTCTAACGTTCCGAAAAATCCGAGGAGGTCGAGTTTAAAAAGGCCTGTTTTTTATCGATGCGACGGGAAATGGCTCATTTGATAAAGCCAATTGACACGACAATATTCAATACCGAGCTCACTTTGCCATGACGTCAGTCAGGCAATGGTCGTAAGTAGCACAGCTTTGATCTATGCCATGTTATGGAGATTCGAAGCTGTTTGGTCAGCAAGCCGATTGAGACTGTCAAATCACCTCTGGCTCGGACCCCGGACGCCCTCTGGGGTTACCAACTGGCGAGTGACAGGCTTTTGTGAAAGTCACGGGATTTCATCTCCGCTAAGCTTCTTCAAAACTGAAATGGACCGGGGCCAAAGGCTCCTGCTTTGATCGACTTGACGTGGAATTATCACTCCCACCCCACCCCTTCCTCCGGGAATAAGTTATTTGTCCCAATGGCATGCATCAGAGGGCTGTTCTGCCGCCGTGCACACGCCAGCTAGCTATAATATGATGAGTTGCGCCACTGCCCCACGCCAGTGAGCCTGTTCTGCGCTTGTGAGTCTGCCCCACGTCTGTGAGCCTGCCCTGCACCACTGAGCCTGCTCTGCCCCACTGAGCCTGCCCTGCGCCCTGTGAGCCTGTCCTGCACCACTGAGCCTGCTCTGCGCCGCTGAGCCTGCTCTGCGCCGCTGAGCCTGCCCTGCGCCGCTGAGCCTGCTCTGCGCCGCTGAGCCTGTCCTGCGCCACTGAGCCCGTCCTGCGCCACTGAGCCCGTCCTGCGCCCTGTGAGCCTGCCCTGCGCCGCTGAGCCCGTTCTGCCCCACTGAGCCTGCCCTGCGCCCTGTGAGCCTGCCCTGCGCCGCTGAGCCCGTCCTGCGCCACAGAGCCGGCCCGCCGTCTTACGTCAGTGAGATGTCGTCGGCGACGGCGCTGTCGGGCAGCGGGCCCTCCTCGCGGGACCAGCTGATGCGGCCGTCAAAGCCGGAGCTGTCGCAGCGCATGGTGACCGTGCCGCCGACATACGCCCGCACGTCACGGTCGAACGCCACGATCCGGGCGCCCTCTGGCGGGCGGACAGCGCAGAGTATCGCTCGTCAGCTCGCATTGGCAACGACCGTGTCAGATGATACCCGGCGAGGGAGTCACGCTGGTCGCTGGCGTACAGTGCGGCCTGAGACGCATTAGAAGCACCAACTGGACCTTAGGATACACCGTGGTGACAGCTACGTCTGCTCTGCTTCGAGCACGGCCGCAGATCACGTGAGAGTCACCGGGGGTGTCCGTGTCACCGGTGGATTCTCAGTCCACCGAATCAGCGCCGCAATCAGCACCGCGCCATAAACGCCTCGTCCGTACCGACAATAGCAGATCAACGAAGCCATCTCTTTTGCACTGTATGTGGCAGAGCAGTCCACTACCAGGATGCAGCAAGCTCTCTAGTGAGACCTGCCTCAACGCCTCGACATCCGTCGCGAGACGAGCACTCACCGCTGACGAGAACCTCGGCCACGCCCTGGGCGCGGCCTGCCGTGTTTTCAGCCACGCAGATGTACCGGCCGGCGTCTGACTCGGCGATCGAAGAGAACTGAAAAGACGGTTTGCATTAAATTTTGTCTGCCGTTTGTGTGCCGATTGCCCAGGTTCAGAGAATTTATTAGAGGAGGGCGAGTTCGTTAGGTTCATGGAAATAAAAAATGCAAACGTGTCAAAATGTCACTGAATACGGGATACGATATCCAACCAACCAAACCCAGCAGCGTAAACGTTAAGTTTGCATGCGATGATCATGAGCGTGTTTGCGAATTAATTGACAAATTATCACTGATGATGACCCAGGAAGAGCGTGCGATGCAGGTGGTGTCGGAATATCTACGACGCCTCGTCTCACAAATTGTCCCTTTCCCACATCCACATAGCTACCATATAAGGCGAAGGGAGACTCCCACGGGAAGTAACTTTGGGGGCGACTGGTTCCCACGAATGATGGCGTTATGCTCTGTATACTGCAGGATTGGGAAAGAGCCGAGGCCGACTAACAGCGATGATGCCTTGGACGACGGAGGCCGAGTCGGGCATCGGTCCGCTGAGGCGCTCCCAGGAGACCGAGATCGGCTCGTCGCCGGTGGCAGAGCACTGGATGCTGACCGCGTCTCCCAGCTGGACCACTTGGCGCAGCGGCTCCACCTGCACCCGTGGTGGCTCTGAAGGTACAGGCGCAGGGGCGGTCAGCGCGGCACCCGTGGCGGCTCTGAAGGTACAGGCGCAGGGGCGGTCAGCGCGGCACCCGTGGCGGCTCTGAAGGTACAGGCGCAGGGGCGGTCAGCGCGGCACCCGTGGCGGCTCTGAAGGTACAGGCGCAGGGGTGGTCAGCGCGGCACCCGTGGCGGCTCTGAAGGTACAGGCGCAGGGGTGGTCAGCGCGGCACCCGTGGCGGCTCTGAAGGTACAGGCGCAGGGGTGGTCAGCGCGGCACCCGTGGCGGCTCTGAAGGTACAGGCGCAGGGGCGGTCAGCGCGGCATCCGTGGCGGCTCTGAAGGTACAGGCGCAGGGGCGGTCAGCGCGGCACCCGTGGCGGCTCTGAAGGTACAGGCGCAGGGGTGGTCAGCGCGGCACCCGTGGCGGCTCTGAAGGTACAGGCGCAGGGGCGGTCAGCGCGGCATCCGTGGCGGCTCTGAAGGTACAGGCGCAGGGGCGGTCAGCGCGGCATCCGTGGCGGCTCTGAAGGTACAGGCGCAGGGGTGGTCAGCGCGGCACCCGTGGCGGCTCTGAAGGTACAGGCGCAGGGGCGGTCAGCGCGGCACCCGTGGCGGCTCTGAAGGTACAGGCGCAGGGGCGGTCAGCGCGGCATCCGTGGCGGCTCTGAAGGTACAGGCGCAGGGGCGGTCAGCGCGGCACCCGTGGCGGCTCTGAAGGTACAGGCGCAGGGGCGGTCAGCGCGGCATCCGTGGCGGCTCTGAAGGTACAGGCGCGGGGGCGGTCAGCGCGGCATCCGTGGCGGCTCTGAAGGTACAGGCGCAGGGGCGGTCAGCGCGGCATCCGTGGCGGCCCTGAGGGCACGGGCGCAGGGGCGGTTAGCGTGGTACCCGCGGCGACTCGGGAGGCACAGGCGCATGGGCGGTCAGTGCCGTAGCCGCAGTGGCTCTGAAGGCGCAGACACTGGACCGGTCCGGACTGCACCACATACCGGCTCCAGCTGTGCCTGCAGCGACTCTGAATACATAAGCGAGCACAGCGGCGCTCAAATTTCCTGATGGCAATGCCAGCGGTATGGCATCCGAGCCATAGCATTGTTATGATACTGGCTGTGTTCGCATGAGTGTCCTGGTAATATGGCCACTTGATCCTAACGGTGAAATTTCCGGGTCTCAAAATGTGTTGGGGTGGATACACACGCGCACGCACACCCACACGCACACCCACACCCACACTCACACCCACACTCCCACACACCCCCACACCCCCACCCACACCCACACCCACACCCACATATATATATATATATATAGATATATATATATACATATATATATATATATATATATATATATATATATAATATATCGTACGTCCCGGGGCTCAGTTGGTTAGAGCGCCTGTATTCCGTTCCACCCACCCGTGGCAGGGTGGGGTTCGAGTCGCTTTAGGGACGCTCGCTATTTGCCCTTGACATGTATGACCGGCGGCAGCGGTCGCGCAAAAAAGGTCAGTTGACGTCAGAGGGCAGGATGGACCGTGCCGAGCATTGGGGCGCGTTAAGCTTTCGTCACTAAATTCTGCCGTTGCCTGGAATTACGACATCGGATGGTGGGGGTCAGGGCTCACACAACAAGCACTGCTTAGCGTGAGCGCTTATCCCAAAAATCCATCCATTCAAAGGTTTGGGATCAAATGTATAATAATAAAAAATATTGGTATAGACACACGTATATGTATCGATCTATCTATCTATATATCTACTTTTCTGTCTTGCTACCCACCCATCTATCTCAGAACGGATTTTAAATTTGCGGGTTGGATTCAACTAGCTCCTGAAAGTTGAGCTCTAGTGAGCCGTGAAAAGTACATCAATGCGTCTTCCCAGGGCTGACATGTCGCACCTCGTAAGATAACTCAACTCTCGTGGCGCGTGCAAGGTCGCTAAGCGCTCTCACCGATCACTCGGAGCGTGGCGTCGGCCCGGAAGAGCACCTGCTGACCCGCGCCATGGCCCAGGCAGGTGTAGGTACCCTCTGCCTCCTTCTGCACGCGGAAGATGTACAGAGTGCCATCTCGCACTTCGTGGTTGTCTGGCATATTGCCGCTGGAGCGAACCCACGAGATGCGGACTGGAGGGCTGGAACCTGAGAAAAACCACGTGATCACTTTTTAAGTCCAGAGCATCGAAAACAGCGGGGCGGGGAAGGAGGGGGCACTGCAACCGTGTGGCTTGTGATGCATAACAGATCGGAGGCTGCCTTCTTTGGCATTGAGCTTGACAACATCCAGTAAACAATTACGTGCATGGAGGTTCAATAGACGCATAGACGAATACCTTCAGATCCTCAACAAACAGAACATACATACAGAACATACAGACGCTCAGCCTCCAGCCGCGCGAATGGCAATGACTCCAAAAGTATTTGGATACATAGTAATAATCACACTACTGGGGGGGCCATGTGCCTAGCACACCGAGAACAGTACGACACTGGCGCCTCCCCCCCCCCCCCCCCCCGAGAGGACGATACTGGCGCCTCCTACCTTCGACGAGGCAGATGAGCTCGGCGCTGCCGTTGAGCGGCACGACGTACACCTCCTCGGAGGGGCGCGCCGAGCCGGTGGGGTACACGGGAGGCCGGCCGCCCCCGGCCGCCGGGCGCCTGCCGTCGTCGGCCGGCTCCACCACCAGCCGCAGTCGGTCGGACGCGCGGCCGGCGTCGTTCTCGGCGCGGCACGTGTACACGCCGGCGTCGGCGGCCGAGGCGTCGTCGATGTGCAGTATGGTGCGGCCCGGAACACCCGACAGGCCCGACCGGACGCCGCCGCCCTCCCAGGTCACAGAAGGCGTGGGGTCGCCGCTGGCGGAGCAGCGCAGCTGCACCCGTTGGCCCTCCGACACCCTGACGGTGGCGGCGACAGGAGCTGTGAACTCTCGTCTGCTAAGAGAGACGTTACACGTCCTCTGTCATCCTGACGGAGCTGTGAGCTCCAACGTCATATGTGGCTATTACATGTCAAGCACTCACGCGCATGGACGCAGCAACACGCATAGACCAGAAGGTGAATCGAAATCGAGGCCAGAAAACTGCCAGTGTTGGTACGTTACCGCCCCATCAGATGGGCACGCAAAATGCAAGGGGCGTTCGCCGATCGCGCCCAGTCACTGACTCACCTGTACAGCGTTGGCTGCTCGAGCCTGATGACAGGGGGCGACATGACGTCCAGGATCGCTAAGGCCCTGGCCGAACCCGCCGCGTTGGTCGCCGTGCACACGTACTGTCCATCTTCCTCGCCAGTGACGCGGAGGAATCTGCCGGTGGGTAAGAGACATGCCATTTGTACAGCGTATATCAAGCTCTGTTTGTGTTTTTGAAGCGCGTCTTGCTACTTGTCAGCAACCGGTGCGTACGATCGATATCATCTCACCAATTTTTGAAAAAAAGCTGGCTATGTGAAATACATTCTGGGGTCAAAAGGCGTCGGCACAGAGTGCAATTCAGTGCTTCATACAGTGCTGTTTTGCGCAGTAATACTGGAACACAACTTCAAATGTATAGAATCGTAGCATCAGACCTGGGGACCTCACAAACCAAGTCGTCCAGCGCAGCTGTCAACAACCCAGCGGTCCTCAGTTTTCACACCAGCCCCGGTAGCGCTAGATTTGCCGTGCTCGCTACCGCCACCACCAGCTGAGTTCAACCGCCGCGCGCCGCCCCGAGGCTGTCCGCTGACCTGATGACACCGCCGGACACCTGTTCGGCGGAGCGCGGCAGCGGACTGCCATCGGCACGCGTCCAGCTGAGCTGGGGCTCCGGCTGGCCGGCGGTGACGCGGCACTGGATCAGCGCCGAGCCGCCGCTCACCACCTGCTGCGAGGTGGCCGGGTACAGCTCCACCACGGGATGCTCCAGCCCTGGCGAGCAGGCCGTCACAGCCGCGGTCACAGCACGGGACAGCTCCACCTGGGGCGGCTCTACCGCCACCGGACCGGCGACAGCTTCACCTGGGGCGGCTCTTCCACCACCGGACCGGGGACAGCTTCACCTGAGGCGGCTCTACCACTGCTGGACCGGGGACAGCTTCACCTGGGGCGGTTCTACCATCGGCCGGAACCAAGGACAAGCTTCACCTGGGGCGGCTCTACCACTGCTGGACCAGGGACAGCTTCACCTGAGGCGGCTCTACCACTGCTAGACCAGGGACAGCTTCACCTGGGGCGGCTTTACCACTGCTGTACCGGGACGGGTTCGCCTGGGGCGGTTCTACCACCACCGGACCGGGGACAGCTTCACCTGAGACGGCTTTGCCACTGCTGGACCAGGGACAGCTTCACCTGGGGCGGTTCTTCTACTGCCGGACCGTCGACAGCTCCACCTGGGGCGGCGCTCCCACTACAGGACCGGGGACAGCTTCACCTGAGGCGGCTCTACAACCGCCGGAGATACCCCACAGTCACACACACACACACACACATACAGTAACAGGTCATGCCAGGGTACAGCTTGACCCGGTAATGCTCCGCCGTATGTACGTAATGCTGCCGCATGCAGTCGAGTTAGGCACAGACACGGAGGACGCAGCTGAGGGTGACTTGCATCGCTGCCCGAACACGGTTAGGTCATTGGCCTGGTCTAGTGACGGTCGCGGTCACAGCCAGGCGCAACATGGCCACAGATACCGACGGATGCAACTCTTCACACCCAGCTCAGGATTGACGGGGGAGGGGGGGGGGGGGGGGGATATCCGATCTCTGCTTCATCCAGAACTGAACAAAATCAATGCATAGTTGTACGGAAGGATTGAGGCGAGGTATCAGTATTCCGAGTGGACTAAGTGTTCAGATTATCGTCCCGCCTGGTGTGACAGCAAGCACACATGTTAAGGAATGACAACATGCTAACAGACCAGACGAGAACGATAGCCTCATTAACACGCGATGAGGGATCAAATTGACCGCCTTCCCCCACCGAAGGTTTTTCCTGAATGATTTCCGAACGGTGCGGGTGCAGAGGCGGCCAAATGTAGCATAGCTGTAGACAATTGAATAGAAAATTGCTTGACTTAAAAAATTAGATGCACCTTGTAAGGTCGCTGACCTATGGCCAGGTCAAAGTCAGGCTATGGTCTCCGCGAAGTCCATTTCTAGGGAATCATTCAATCCGATGCAACAACGGGGAGTTAGACGAAGCCATACGTCTCTGAGATGCTTTGTTAGGCAACACAAATATTGGATGAGCAAATAATGTTGACCTAAGGTCAGGTATGAAGGTCAGACCAAGATCATAAGCAAACTGTTTTATTATTCTAGGGCCTGCTGAATGGGACAGTTTCTGATGCTCATTTCGAATTTATTGATAGCAGGAACTGCATTATACAGCTTCCATGGACTTTTTACAGGTCAGAACAGGTTATTGACTTAAAATGACCCAGGTCAACATTTTTGTTTTAAAAGAAGCATACTGCCTAGCGTAATCTTTGCCGCTTGTTCAAATGCAAAACTCAGAGCAGTCTTCTATGATTTTGGTCACCATGACCTTCAAAAGGTTAAACAAGGCTACTGAACTTAGATGAGCATGTGACCTTTGGCTTAGAAACAGTTATCTAGGTTCTGGGGGCACTTTGGAGACCAACCTGAAAATTTGACCTTGTTTGACCTTGTTTGGCCCAAAGGTCATGACCTAGGAACCTCAAACTTTGACCTAAATGAGTTCACGTACAGGTTAATACACCCTGTAAATTTGCTGTCCCTAGCTCTCTTAGTTCCCGAGATCTCAAGGGGGGTCATATTCAACCCCACCGGAGCGAAGGGTATCTAGCCGGCCGCCCGGGCGCGTGTTTAATCATTGCGACCGTGAAAACTACGTAAAAGGACCAAATGACGTTTCCGCTGATGGTGATGATGTCTTCGTGACCTGGGATGCCACAGATGACTTCCGGCCCAAAATATTCGTTTCTAGACCTCGCAAGGTAGTGAAGAGCACGCCGGTGCCCATGAAGTTGTTTTTTGCTTTCTTGTTTGTGAATCACACCGGCAAGAACATTTTGTGCCATCTTAAGACATGGTTGTTGCCTACATAATCATGACCTGAAAGGTGGCCTATCGGACTGCCCCCGCTCGAAATGGATATGAAAGGATAGTTTATACAACGAGCAACACATTTGTACTTTCCGCGATGCTCTGGACACGTCGACGGCTCTCAAATATTGTCTTCGTATGAAGTCGTTTGTACTTATGGGTCGAGCTGAATTACGGGGAAAATCATGCTGGCCGCGTACAGCGGCTTCACAAACAGCTCCGAAAGGGTCGTTACTTTCATCAATGTTCATAATTATCTAAATCATATTTCGTCGTTGGTGCCAGAATGTTCCACATCGAGGGAATGGATGTTACCAAGAATGGAGTTTCATGGAAGGTTCAAAGGGGCGTACTTCCGTAAGATGAGTCTGGGGAAGGGGCAGAGCAGGGGCTGAACAGTGAAAAATAGCAAAAACTGGCCGCAAAATGCGCCAACAACGTGCATTTCTGATCACTTTGGCTCAGTTTCTTTTCCCAGTTGGGGTAGCTTGTTTGGAGAGGGGGGGGGGGGGGGAGGGCTGGAGTCCCGCAACTGAATAGGAAAATACACTCCTACGGGAGGCTGGTTTCTAGAGCATCGCATTTTTTGCCTCTAGCGCTACATGAAAATGATGGCTAGCGGTGTGGCGCCGCTCTACACATCCCTAATTTAACAGTACAACCAAAAAGAGCTTATCGCTAAAACGGCATTGCTGTTGTGTGAGCAATGGCACAAGAGCGCACGAAACTAATAAGTGATATGAGCATGTTTATGGTGTATTTTCATTTTCAGAGGTGTGACCGTAGCCTGAATTGCTTTGTTAATAAGGTTGCTACTCGATCACTTTAGCTGTACAGTCTGCAGGGGACAAAACAAGTATACAGTGATGACATAAAGCTACTGGAACTTATCTCGCTCAAGTATGGGGTTTCAAGCACATCGACGATAAAGGTGTAATTGACAGTGCATGTCTCAGGAAGACAAGATTCGTTTCCGCGCGACCTGCTCCTCCACAAATTGGGTTCGAAGTCACCCCTGCGTAACGCAGCGTTTTCAATATGTCGCCACGAGATGTCAAATTCATAGTCGGGAAGTCAGCCCAAATCTCAGTATTACAGATGACACGGTTGGTAATGAGATAGAGACACAAAATAGAGAAGCTTATGGCACAGGGGCCATCGCGTGCACTTCAGGGCCTCAACAAATGCGTGTTAAATCAAGCCACCAGTACGTGTGTCACATAAGATGGGATCACTATAGCCTCACATTTCCTTACATAAAACTTGAACTCAACTCCGTCTGTGCCCACCCATGTTTCTGGGGGAGAATCGCTGCATACGCCCTTTTCGGCGAGGGACCACAGGCCACCGCCTGGTGACCCACGACCGAGTGTCACGGCTGCTCGCCACTGGACACGCCCGGGGCCGGCCACTCACGCTCCACCTCCACGATGGCCGACGACTGGGCGCCGTCGACGGAAGCAGACGTAGACGCCCGCGGTCCGCCGGTGCGATGTTCCGCCAGCAGCAGCGAGCCGCCCGCCTGCTCGGCGCCGGCGGGCAGCGGCTGGCCAGCCCGAGACCAGCGCACCTCGCCGCCCGCCGAGCCGTCTGCCGGCACAGGCGGAGAACGCTGACGGGCTGACGGACTGAGGTCTCAGAGACGGTTTGGTTGTGCTTCCCATCGGCCAACACAGACGACCGTGGCGGCTGTGGCAGGAAGCTGCCGAGCAGCCAGCGATGGGCCGGAGCAAACGGGTGGTCCGCGTTTGAACGCGGTTAGTATGTTAACCCTAAAATAATCCAGTTGACCAAGTCTATTGTGGAGACTCGTAGAACTGCGCAGTGCACCAAGGGCTATCCCGCGCTGTCTGACGCCCCCCGGCCGGCTGACCCAGCCGGCGGCAGTCGGGCTGGACCCGCCTGACGCCTGTCAGTCGGGGCTGGACCGCCTGACGGCCTGTCAGTCGGAAGCTGGACCCACCATGACCCTGTACAGTCCGTGGCTGGACCCACCTGACGCCTGACACTGCAGCTCGGCACTGCCGCCCTGGCGCGCCGTCTGTTCGCTCCGGCTTGATCGTCAGGCGGGTGGCTCTCGGCACTCGCACCTCGGCGTCGCATTCATCTCCTCCATGCGCAGGCGGCGCGACAACTTTCCCCTTTCTAGTTCCTTGGGTAAGGTCAAGAGAGAGAGAGAGGAGAGAGAGGGATAGAGAGATAGAGAGAGATAGAGAGAGAAGAGAGGAGAGAGAGAGATAGAGAGACTGAGACTGAGGGCGATATGATATATGTATATATACATGTACATGTATATGCATATACGTGTATATATCTATACACTCCTCTAAACACTCCTATATATATATATATATATATATATATATATATATATATATACATATCTATATATTGTACGTTACCGGTATCCAGGGTCTTGTGGATCTGTCATCGTGCAGATGTACACGCCTTCGTCAGCAGGCTGCATATCCACGATGGTCAACTGTCCGTTCAGCTGTGATGCCCCCTGCAGATCAAACGTAGGGAGGCTGGAGTGGCCTCAAGATATGCTTTGAAGGGAGTACTCCGCAATTGTAAGGATTTTGATCTGACATAGCCATCTTGCAGATCATTCGGTGCAGTTCATAGCCCTGTCCTTCTCAGGACATAAACTCCTCTAGTCTCTGTGCGACACGCCCGCGAAGATGCGCAAACTGTTTCGAACAGACTATTTCAAGGTCATTCAGATGTCCATGACGCTATAATGGCGTCATCAAAATTCGGTAATTCCATAAGTCGTGTGGCGACCAAGGCCAAGCAAACATGATTGTTGAGTCGTTCATAGCTTGCGTTCATGAGCACGATTTCCAGATATAGCGGGCCGTCACTTGGGTCTCAATCAATGTTGTGCAGGGTACGATGACGTAATAAAAAATTACGCATTGAGGAGCATATTTACTAAACAGAGAATTTGTGTTGTCTAGAGCAATATTTCCACTGAAAAGTGTACCAGCAGTTATAAGTGAGGTTATTTTATCATATATCATGCTTGCTTCAATATCTTCAAATATGGAGCACTTCCTTTAGCCTATTATATCCACTTTTACATACAGTACATACAGGGTACGCATGATACAAAGCACATATCACATAGTATGTACCATGTTTTAATGCAGTGTGCAATACGAATGGATTACACGTTGTAGACAAACTCATGGTTACTGCTTCCACAGTGTGTCGGAGTGCATGTGTGCAACCGTGTGTCTTAACGCAGGTTACAACGGACATGCGGCTGGGACCCTGGCCGCGTGCCGTAGCGGTGGCCAGCGGCACCACACGCCGTCCGTACCTGGGACAGCTGCTGGCCCTCCAAGCGGCTCCAGAGCGCGACAACGTCCGCCTGGGCCGAGCTGCAGTCGAGCTGGAGTGTGCCGCCGGCCGGCACCACCAGCCGCTGGGGCGCGGCCGGGCCGACCGTCGGCGGCGGCGCCGTCGGCTCGGCCGCGCTCACGTAGATGATGGTGCGCACCGAGTCTGAGCCGGCGGCGTTGGTGGCTGTGCACGTGTACTCGGCCTCGTGCGCCTTCTGCACGCTGCTGATCACCAGCAAGCCGTCGATGAGTGACACCTACCGGAGTGGGTTCGCGTTCTGTGGCTGCACCACCTGTCCTGGGTCCGGACGGCGGCTGAGGGAGCGCTCGGTAGGACAGAGGGCGGGCTACGTTTAACAGCGCTCGGGTGGGGGGTCAAATTGACCCCGCCCAAAGGTTTTTCCAGAATGGTTTCCGAATGGCGCGGTGCAGCGGCGCCAAATTTTGCATAGCTGTAGACAATTGAATCGCGGATCGTTTGACACTAAAATTTAGATGTGCCTTGTAAGGTCGCTGACCTATGGCAGGTCAGTCAGTCCATGGTTTCAGCGAAGTCAGTTTCTAGGGAATCGTCCAATCTGATGCATCAATGGCGCTTTAGACGAAGCCATACATCTCTGAGATTCTTTCTTACAAATATAAATTTAAATTTAATAAAAATATAAATTTTAACAAACATAAATTTCTTACAAATAACACTACAAATATGAAATAAGCAAATCAGGTTGACTTAAGACCAAGTATGAAGGTCAGACCATGGTCAAAACCAACCTGCTTTATTACTCTAGGGCCTGCTGATGGGATAGTCTCTGGTGCTCATTTCGAATTTATTGATAGCAGGAACTGCATTATACATCTTCCAGAATAGGCCATTGACCTGCAATGACCCAGCTCAGGATTTTTTTAGGAACATGCTGCCTGGCGTAACCTTTGTCGCTGATCAATTGCAAAACCCAGGGCAGTCTTGTATGATTTTGGTCACCATGACCTTCAAAAGGTCAAACAAGGTCACTGACCTTAGCTGAGCATGTGACCTTTCGCTTAGAAACAGTTACCTAGGTTCTGGGGACACTTGGAGACCGACCCGGAATTTGACTTTCTTTGACCTTATTTGGACCGAAGGTCATGACCTAGGAGCCTCAAACTTTTACCTAAGTGAGTTCATGTACAGGTCAACACACCCTGTAAATTTGGTGTATCTAGCTTTCTTAGTTCCCGAGATCTCAGGGGGTCAAATTTATCCCCCCACCCCACCCGAGCGAAGGGTATCTAGCCGGCCACCCGGGCGAGTGTTAAGCGTGGCGAGAGCTGACCCGCCGCGACATCTGCACTGAAAACTTGGCAAAAACTTGGTTCTCGCGAGGCGTTTATCATGGGCATGCCTACGTTTCTTTACCATCTTACCGATAGATAATTCATGTCATTTAGCATCCCTCGGGAGTACCGGTCAAGATATGCCCACAAGCGTACTAGATTGCTCTTAGAAGGGTGGAAGGTGGGAAGAGTGTTTCACCCGGTCAAAAGCCACATGCCGTGCCTTCGACTTTTGTGTCGCGAGTTTGCTCTCTTGGGATGTTGAAAACGTTTCACGCATGTGTGGTTTGATACACTGACGCTGTGGTTTGATTTGCCATTTAGCACATAGAAACAGAATTGGAATGTCCGGGATCCAGATAAAAGCATACCTTCCCCCCCCCCCCCCCCCCATTACCATCATACTAAGTTGTCATCCGCATGCTGCCGCCAGAGGAGATCCCACCCCTGGTCCACAAGGACTTCACCAACGTGAATGACATGAACACCACATGTGACGGACAGATAGGCACCAATCCGTGCGAAGTACCTGAACGCACTGCGGCGAGATGACGCATTACTGTCAGCCGGCATATAGCTAGGCACCAGGAAATACAGTACTATGAATCGCTTCACGTCTGATACTTGCTAGCCTTGTTTGCAAACGACGCTCATCCACACGTCCACACGGTACGAGACGGCAGCTCTGCCGTACGGAGGGCAAACGCCACTGACGTCAGGCTCGATGATGTCGTTGCGGCCGCCGGTCCAGTGTAGTGCCGGTGGCGGGCTGCCCTCGGCCTGGCACTCGAGCTGGGCCGGCTCGCCGGCGCGCAGCTGCAGGTACCTCGGCGAGATGGTGACCCGCGGCGGCGACGGCGGCGGCGCCGGCTCAGCGGTCGTGTCCGGCTCCCCTGCGCGAGCAGACGGCTGAGTCGGCGCGCAGAGCCACTGCTCGTGACAAAGCTGTATTTAGAGCTGTGTAGAGCTGTATGTTTGGTTATATGTACTGTGTGGGAGGGCGTGTATACACATATCATTCACATCACGCGTGTCGTGCCAAAATAAAAGTGGATGGAGCCAGTGGCCTTTAAAAAATGAGCATAGCGAGAAATACGTGGATCTATGTGTTTTCGCTCGCAAATTTGGAAATAGCATTGTCTAAAAATACCTGTACATGGGAGAAACTAAGGCACATCTATTTCACTCTACAGGATGGATGAATGTTATAACTGTTAACTTGTTGAGCGTTACCACAGCACTGCGTGCAGCCCTCAGTTCGGGTATGGATAGTGGCCACGATGAACCGGTTCACCTCGCTTGGTGATATGCGGACGGCACAACGCACTACCTTTGCAGTCGGTTTCACGTCTTTGTCTCCCCTGGTTGCCGAAATCTCACTGCAATTTTGCAAAAATGTTCCAAAACCGGAGGATCGATTTTTTTGCACCCGAGCAGATGCATGACCGGTTGTATATATTGACCTGCACTTTGGTCAATACAATTGCCCATTTTATTTTCTTTCAGTTGTTGGTCCACCGTCGAGGCGCCCCGGGAACGTCGGGATTAGGATAAGAACTTAACGAGGTGGGAAAACCCCTAGCTACCCTATGGGAAGGATGACGGGCTGGTTGCGCAATGGGTAACGGGAACTTTTGGAAACATTACAGGTGTGGGTACCGGTATGAATACGGGCACGGTTACGGGTGGCCGTAATGGGTAGCCGTATCCGGTTACGGCTTTCCATAACGGGTAGCTATAACCGGTTACGGTTTTTCGTAACCGTACCCACCTGACGTCAGTTTTGCAATTCTTACATAAAATGGTAAGCTTGTGTGCAAACGTCATGACACTTATCCATAAGTTATAGCAATGTAACCGGGTGGGAAACGAGTGAGAGTAACTGGATAAGAATTGATGCGTTTTGAAACGTCCAGAGTTCATATAGTCCGGTGGTAAAAAGTCCACAACCGCAGCATCCAGAGTTCCTAACATTCAGAAACCGTCCAAAACCCCTGGACGGAGAATCATAATGTCCAGGCTCGCAGCGTCCCGTGTTCATAAAGTCCAATGCTCATAAAGTCCAGCGTGCGTGAGATCCACGGGTTAGGATGTTGTCCCGCTTCCTCGTAACCCTTCACCTAATAGTTCGGATATTGCACGATACAGAGCTACTGAAGCTGATTTCGCCCGCCTCAGCCTACGAGTGACGTCATGCGATACAGTGCTGCCCAGTTAAACCACTGTGCATGGACATGGACAACGTTTTGTTTGAGTGCACAAACTTTACTGTGTCAGCACGCCCTTGGCAGCAGGCGCATTAAGGAATTCAAAACTTTGATCCCTGGCTCGTGGCATCAAAAATAGCTGGTTATTCGTCAAGAGCTGCACGGCATTCGTGGAAAGCATTTGTCGGTTGCCTGCCGTTTGGCATTGTAGCCCATGGATAAGATTCTCCGCGGTATTTGGTTTCGTTATTTACTGTATGTGTTGGTCATGTTTGTCACTTTTGGAAGGAACTGATGACTGATGTGTAAGGCTGACTGATTTGATGTCTGCTCAAGGTAGGCGCGCATATAGATCTCCAGCTCTTGGCACGCTAACCTATATTGTTAGTGATTTTATTTAAATGATTCCCCTCCCTCCTTCAAGTGCAATTATTTCACACACTCCTGCAAACGGGACTTGTTCTGAATTATACATGCTTTTACTCTTAAAGAAAGGGGGTGGGGGCTGTCTCATCAGCTGAATCCGGATACTACTCCCTCGTGAGACACGCTCAATGGCCCAACCTACAAACAATTCGTTTCTTCGATTAAGTACGTTTTAAACGGGCGTGGTTTACCAAAACAAGTTGTTGGCTGAGCGACGAAAATACAACGACGAGTGCCGTAATAATATGCCAACAAATTGGCTTTCTCTCCGAATTTGGTTCACTTTCTCACAAATCCGCTGGCTGCAATTCAAGTTATGGCGGGGGGGGGGGGGGGGTGAAACCCCTGCAACTGAATAGGGAACCAAACTCCTGGTTGCAAATGAATAGGAAGTAAAAAAGCAAACGTTGACTGCGAATGTATTCGACTGCCCGCCAAACGTCACGCAAAACACTACGCACGTGTCGCGCTTAAAGGCCCTGTTGATTCACCATCTGAACAGCGGAGCCGAGCGTATGTCATTGGGCTGGTTTGCGATAGATAAGCTGAATGAATTGGGAGAATCGTGAGCTTGTATTCGCCATCCACTTCATCAATCTTGACAAGCTTTCTTCGTTTTACGCTTCAGAACCTCCTACGTATAAAATTTGGGTTCCAGCAACACCAGTCTGGAGTTTATCGAGACGGGTGCAGTTCGCGCCGCAGAGGGGCGATGGTGGCATGGTGATTAGTGGTTACGGTGCTCATCTCCGGTCTTTTCTATTCTTGGATGGAGTCCTAGCCACACCACCACCGCATCCCACGTACCTAATGCCTGATAGATACGTAAAAGAGGCGTTCCGCCTCGAAATAGCCAAAGCAGCCGGTGAGGCGTAAAGCCCCAATCGGTACTACAGCCCGTCCCGACAAACAAACTGCCGCCCGCCAAATTTTGCAGACAATAGTTCCGCTCAATCACTGTTTATATGCGGGAATGATAATGTGGAATCGGTTGGACGCGGAGCTCAGACACACAGGCCAGCCCAGAGGCTGCCCAGCTCGACGGTCCGGCCGGCAGCCACGCCCACGGCGAGCCGGCGGACGAGGCAGCCCGGCCGCCAAAAAAGAACGCACTCACGCGCGCGCCGTCCCTCGCCCGAAAACCGAGCCTCGCCACACGCGCGCGAGGCCTGTCCGTGGGGCAGCCCGTGCGCGGTCGGAACACTGCCAGCTCAGTCGGGCACGCCGCCATCTTCGCGTCAGAGCCCGAGGTCCCTGACTCGGTTTCACTCGGTAAGCCGCGGTACACATCCCCGCGGACCGGACATCCGGACCTGTCGGACATCCCGGGATCTCGCTGGTGCCGAACCGGAGCCGCCCCCCCCCCCCCTCCTCTTTGGCGGGCGCCTAAATGGGAGAGCCTCGTGTCAAGCACAGGAACCAGCACCGGACAGGGTTTCCTCTGCCCGTTTTCTTTAAGGCCCAAATGCGTCGAACTGGGATCCCTGTGCTGTTTATTAAACCCGCGACTCTTGGGACATTTTGAAACGGTGAGTGGCCACACGTTGATCCAGGGTTAACCATCTCGGTCAGAAGGCCTTCGGCGTCAGAGAGCGGACCAATGTATCGTGTTTAGTAGTAGTAGCCGACTGAAAATCTGAAATGGGACGGAAAGGTATTCCAGCCCCAATCGAAAAATGCATGGGGTCTCAAGTCTTGGCTGAAAACTCTATTGGTGTGTAGCTGTTGAAGGGGGAGAGGGGAGAGAAGGGCGAGGGGTCCAGGAACCCCTTGGGAGAAGCTCTTTTCGGAACTGTGAAGTTCAAAAAATGACCATACTGAATGAGAAGAGCAAAAAATGTTGCCTAATAAAAATTCTGACCATAACGTAGCAGCATCTAGCAGTCCAAGAAGCCCCCACTGGTAAACTCGTGGACCCCCTCTGGCCACTTAGTCGGGACTTCCTGGTCGCCAGGGTTACACTGGCATTTAAGAGCCCTTACAACTGCCTAGACCTCTGTTGTTCTTCAAACTATGGACACTAAGGGAAATGGAAAACTACTAGGATGCCCTGGTCGCTCAGGTGTCACTCACGTTCACCGCCCAGGCAGCTCAAGTAGCGCACACGGGAGATGTACAGGGGCCCATGCTTCGTCCCTTTTCGCCCAAGGGCTCTGGGGACAGACGACCAAAGGCCTGATTTGTGGCCCTGAACGGCACGAAGGGCTCGGTGGAGATCGTATTAGGAATCCCGATTCTGCGGCCCGGGTCCGCATAACCGGTATTATTTGTGTATAACCGGTATAACAAAAACAGATGCATGTAGTTATAAGACCCATGCAAGAAAAAGCACGAGATAAGTTAGGTTAGTTGTTCAGTGCATTAGCGAGGAACATTATTCACAGAGATAAGACAATAGTAGTATTAGCCTTATTCCTCGGAGAAAAACCAGGAGAATGGATATATAGTTGGGTTGATAGTTCGGCAATGTGCCTTTATCAAAACAATAACAGAAGTGAACCCAAAATTGCCTGCCGATGATCCTACTTGATTTTTCAGGGCTTTTAAAGCAGGCCACGGTTTTTTCTGGACGTCAACATTCAGGGGATTAAACAAAGAGCGATTGCTACCCATTACCACGATACAATGCCTATCTAACAATTAGAATGCGCGAACATACATGCACATGCAAACGAATTCAAGCCAATGGGCATCACGCTTCATTCAAACATGCAAGCAGGTTGACGTAAACAGACCTCACACATCACCCATCAACCATAAATGTAAACGATCTCAATTGAACAGGAATCGCACATCACGCGGCAGGCATCATTTACTCGTATAAACGATTTTAAGCTAGCACACATCACACATAAAGGCACATATCACGTTCGCATAACCGACAATGATGAGCAGTGTATGTTGAGATCTGGTCGCCGACTTTTTATAATAACGGATTCATTTATTTTCCTCTCTGGGTGGTCCTGTGCTCTGTAAGTGACTACAGAGCAAATCCGTCTACAGAGCACAGAATGCCTACAGAGCACATCCATCTACAGAGCACAGGACAACCCAGACAGGAAAATAAGTGAATCCATTTTGATAAAAAGTCGGCGACCAAATCTTAGCATACAGGGCTCATCATGGCCGATTATGCGAACGTGATATGTGCCTTTATGTGTGATGTGTGCTAGCTTAAAATCGTTTACTTGTGTAAGTGATGCCTGACGCGTGATGTGCAATGCCTGTTCAACTGAAATCGTTTGCATGTATAATTGATGGACGATGTGTGATGGATGTTTACTTCAACCTGCTTGCATGTTTGAATGAAGCGTCATGCGTGATGCCCATTTGCTTGAATTCGTTTGCATGTACACGTAAGTTTGCGCATTCTAATTCTTAGGAAGGCATTGTATCGTGGTAATGGCTGGCAATCGCTCTTTGTTTAATCCCCTGAATGTTGGTGTCCTGTAACAACTGTGGCTTCCTGTTTAAAAAACCTGAATAATCATGCAGGATCATCGGCAAGGAAATTTTGATTTACTTCTGCTACTGTTTCGATAAAGGCATGTTGCCGAACTATCAACCCAACTATATCTCCATTCTCCTGGTTTTTTATCCCAGACATATGGCTAATACTACTGTCTTATCTAACCACGAGATGATTTCAAGTTGACAAACCGAGGCTACTGGAGAAGACTACGAAGACGTGACGTCATCGTGAAACCAAAGTTTGGTAGCCCGCAGGAAGGTTTTTGGTCGATAATACGAAAAGGTTGGTAGATACTATTCAGGTGAATAAAAACGGAGATTTTGCCATTGAACTGGATGGCAACCCTGTTCTATGGTTTTATTTTAAAGTTATGTGAATAGATCTTGTAATTGTGCAGTTCAAAACTTCCCAAGATAACTCAATACTAAGATCTGATTCCAAAAACAAATCCTACTAAACCACGTTTTTTAGTTCCAGCACACGCGCCATATTGGTCGAGGCAAACGCATACGAATATCTATATGTAATGCATTTTTGTAGGAGGAATATTAATATGTTAATAAATTAATATCACATGTAATGTTAACGCTAAGCGAATGGGCACTGATTGCGCATCTTCGCACTGCAGTATCTATATGAAGTGAAATGTGAAAGTAAGGGTATGTGAGGACGGCAGGTGCCAGGAATTCCGCTGTTCAGGTGCGCAGATGAATAATGTTCCCAGCGCCCTAAAATATCTCGTTTAAACTATTTCGGAGCTGAAATATGGGTTTCAACATTTTGACCAGCAGAAATGACAAAATTTGCCAGAAATTTTAACCACTCACTACACCCATAAGGGCAGGCGAACCCTGCATCCATACTGACAACGCTCTCCCTGAGGCTACAGAATACGCATTCCCGCTTCTCAACGCGCGTCCCAGGGTGCTGCGAGCCCGTCTGGCCCGCCGTATCTCATTTCCATCCAATGTTGTTGTTACTGTTGCATGTTGTACGCTCTTACACAGACTGTTTCTAAGCACTTCCGGCCACAGTTCTTCGGGATAAATCACTGGTGAATGGGTTACCCCCTCTGTCTTTCGGGGGCAGCCTGGAAGCGCATTTCAGCAACAATTTTATGGCTCTGGTGCAAATCAACGCCATTTCCCAGCTAAAAATGTTTCATGGAATGTGCTAGGTCGAACAAAATTCGGCTTGCGGAAATATTTGTGTTTAAACCAGCCTGCAAAGAACAGCGTTTTCACACCGCCATAGCGTTGGTGCCATATGACTAAGTCCCATGATAACGTCACGGCATCGCTACCCAGAATGCAGCAATGTGGGGCTTGTTGACAAACGTACAACGATATAGGCTTTGTCCAAAATTGCCATTCCAGAAAATGTCCAATGAAGAATGAAAAGTTGAGGGCCATAAGCAATACAAGACCATTCAACATGACAATCCATATCAGCTTTGCATCATGAGCTGTGGTGACGTCTTCAACGACCAGCGAGAAGAAGCGAAAGCTGTCATCAGGTTTATCCAAAAGCATCCGAAAAATTCATTGCTAAGACGGCTGTGATGCTTATCAAGCATGTATAAAGAGCAATCCGTTTTGCACATTTTATTAACATTATCTATCTATCTATGTGTATATATATATATATATATATATATATATATATATAAGTGCATTTTGCTAATCAATGGGCATGCGGTTAAGTCATGCATCAGATTTCGTGCCAACTAGTGGTTCAGAATCGGCTAAGACAAAGGGCCATCGTAGGTCAAGTCATTCGGATTTGTTATTGAAAATTAGCTTCGGTGCGTGTCCCTGTTCACTAACGACGGGCTCATGGCAGGGCAATGCGCATTCAAAAATTATTATGTTTCAAAAACACTGCCACGTTATTTGCTCATATGCATCATTTATGTTTTCGTGATTGACGGTGGCAAGCTATTTAGATGCCTCTTTCGGTGAAAATGACAACATATCGTGCAATTTTCTGTGTCTTGTAAGGATTGTCTAGCCTCCGGAATATCTGGCCGAATTATGACCTGAGTGACGTAACGGGAGAGCTTGGCGCCCACAGAGCGGAGTGCAAGAGTGTGGATTCGTGTAATGTTACGCTCAAGAAATATGTGGCTGACAGTAATATCCCTTCTGCATGTGCGTTGTACGTATGCTTAAGCGCCTATGCTCGCTATATGTCTTAACCATCGCCCTGATTCGCCGTTTTGCATAACTCGGACTGATAGGGGAAGAGGAGGTTGATGAGACCCTCCCCTGGCGTTTCCAAGCTTATAAAGATAGAGGTTGCCGAGACACCAGTATATGGTTCCGAACACGATCTCACGATTGGTACAAGTTTTTATGCCATTGACAGGTCAAAGGTCGAATTTTACAGAAAACCGCACTTTGTAGCTTTATTTTATGTTTACGAGAACAAGCCCGGCGATGACATGAACCTTAAATCGGCGTGTGTCTTGTTCAATTCTGAGTACATTCTGCAGTGCAATTCTCCTGCCGCCCGTCGCCTGAGCCAGCCATAGATCGCCGTGGAGCGCTCATCACAAACTGCCGTTGCTCCGAAACCAGAAAATCTAGGAACACGCTTTAGTGTCAAAACGCGTGTCATGATCACCGCCTATCATGGCGAATGTTAAACGTCACCTTATAGCTGCGTTGGGTATCGGCAACGATTTTTCGTGAAACGATATGCTTCATTTTGCTAATAACTGAAGCCATAGCGGGCAAAACAGGAAAAACAATGCCTGCGCTTCCGCTTACAACAACGCTTACGGCTTCCTTCCATATTTGCTTGCTCCTAGCGTGACCTCACGATGACCCCGTCCCAAAAGACCAAGTCTCTCGCAACAAGTTGTGCTCTGTCCATGGGCTGGCGCCGAAAGGTTCCGGTGCTCGCGAAACTTTCCCCGTCCGAACAACTAGAACATCTTCATTGACGCGCCGGACTGTTCGCATGCGCTTGGCGACAGGCAGATTAGCGCGAATGAAAATGGCGCGAACGACGAGATGGTCGACCAAGGCAACCGATCGCTGTTATCGCGTAAAACGAACTGGAGTGAATGCATAAGACCGAAGGAAATATGACAAAGATACGGGTATGCAATTCGAATATGATCATAACAGTTTTCAATATGCTCAGCTCCTTTCATAGTTCCGCTGTCTGATAATGGATGTAGGAGCACTCGTGCGCTTACGGCAAGCCCAGTGTGTGGGGCAAGCTACAAATGCTCTTGAAACGGGAGATGCAAAAGTGTAGGCGTTTGTTGACAACCAGCCGATCGCATATAGGAACATCGAGACAAATGTCAGAGCATCATGTTATTGTCGCTATTTAGCGGATATGTGGCCGGTAGGCAGTAGGGTGGCGGCTGGCTCTGTCATTTGATTTGATTTTTCCGCCATTTCAGGCGGAGGTGGGTTTTCTCTGATGCATGTCTCGGTTAAGATGGCAGCATACCGAGCATTTGTGTTTTTTCTCACATTTTTTTTCTAGTCTCCGTAATATCTTGCCTAGTTGTGAACGGAGTTATATAACGGGAGATATGTGTCGACAGAATTAGAGTGCGAATGTGTGAATTCATATCACGTAACGCCTAGAAATATGTGGTTGATGGTGACATCCCTTCTGCATGTGTCATGTCGTACGCATGTTGTAAGTACCTACTCTCGCTGCCTTACACACTATCTTATTGCTGCATTGGATATCAGCAATGGTGTTGCGTGAAAAGATGATCCTTAGTTTGTCGACAATTGCAACCACGTGTGGCAAGAATGTGTGCTTGCTTTCATACTCATTCGTTCCTTGTTTCATCTCACACTTAGCCCGCCCCCGAAAACCAACTCCCACGCGACAAGTCGCTATCTGTCTGGGGTCTAGTGCTAGACGACTACGGCGCTTGAGAAACTCAAAGCGGGAAACGTCCCCGTCCGACCAATTATGAATTCCATTACAGCATTTTCATCCACGTGCCCAACTTTACGCGTTTGACAACAGGCAGGCTGGCGCGAATGAAAATAGCACGAACGATCAGCTGATCGGCCAAGGCAGCCATGGC